AAGCTGTCTACAGATGCATCCTCCCATCTGACTCAAGGTGAGGAGCTGTGTCTCATTCTTTCTGTCCCACATTCCTTGGTACCTTATACATAGTAGCAATTGAAAAAAAGCTAAATGATATAAAGCCATATATGCATTAACTCCAGGTAATCAATTAGGCCCCAACTCATGAAAAAGCATTCATAACTTCTTTTTAGCTAATAAACACTGAGTAATCTGATACGTGTGTATTCGTTTTTGCAAAGCTTATGTTAAGTGAATTTTAAATTCTGAACAACATACCTATGTTTTAAATGTATTTTTAAGTATGGTAGTAAGACTTCGCTTGTTTATTTTTGAGACAGTGTATTGCTATATTGCCCAGACTGACTGCTAACTCCAGATTGATTGAGTCTCCTTCCTCAACCTCCTGAGAAGCTGAGACTATAGGCCCTATGGCATGGAACCTGGCTCTATTCCTTGATCCTAGGGATTGAACCCAGGACCTTGTGCATGCTAAGCACACAGTCTACTACTAAGAAACATCCTCAGCCAGAGACATTTAAAAAAAAAAAAAAAATACAGAAGATGACTGGTTTCACTATGTAAAACACAAAACTAGATTTTGTTGGTATACTGAACATGAAGTGACTGGGTGCTGATGTCTGTAAAATGTTTGCTAACATGGCAAGAATATTAAAAAAATGAATTTAAAACAGGCCTTGAAATTCTCCCTTGAAAAAGTTGTAATAGGCAAGCAAGAAACTTGATGTAAAATTCAGACAGGATCTGAGAAAGTAGAGTCTGTTCTCACCCTTATGGAAAAATTACTTCTAACCTAGTCTGCATGATATTGCTGGAAACTGGAATACAGAATTGGCTCAGTCAATGAACTCACTGCATTACCCAAAGGAAATGAAGAAACTACCAAGTAGAGTGGGCCCTTTCTGGAATACCAACTGTTCCAGTTCCATCAACTCTCTGAAGCTCTAGAGCAGAGGGATGCAAATTCAGGCGCAGAGACTAGCCTGGCCACCAGCAGTTTTTTTATTCCCCACTATAATTATTTTTACATTTTTAAATTGGAGGAAGGTCAAAGGAAGAATCATATTACATGACATATGAAAATATGAAATTCAAATATCAGTGTCCATATGTAAGGTTTTAACTGGAATACAGCAATGCTTATTTCATAACTCAATGTGGATGGCTGCTTTCAAATGACAATTATAAAACTGATACCTCACAGCTCACTGATCCTACAATGTTTACTATCTGCCCCTTAAAAGAAAAAGTATGCTGACTCCTGGGCTGGAGCATTTCTGCTCCTAGTTGCATCTCTTTTCTCAAAGGCAGTCCACTGCTTCACAAGGTTGAGCCTCTAAGCTTGACAGGTGTCCATCTTGGGGCTGTGTTGTTCAAAGTTACAACATTAATATAATCATACAATACAGTACAATTCAATAGAGTGGGCAGAAAGACAAAGTAACAAGTTACTTGTACTAAGAGGCCCTGAAAATAAGGAGTATTCAAGTCCATTACAGGCAGCACAGACCTTTTACCAGACTACCACATCCAGTTCTGGGTCACACTTGGGATGGTGGTGGGGAACTACAGAGACCTTAGAGGTGGACAGATGATTAATAGGGCTCAAAAATCAGACAACTAAAGAAATGCTAAGAGAAACGAAATTAATTGACCCAAAGAGAAAGGAGAAGGCACTGGTGTCAACACTTGCAGAGTTGTATTGCTGATAGATCAAATTCCTACTGATAAAAATGACAGCCTGAACTAATATAATACAAAACATATATATATATATATATATACACACACACACACACACACATATATATATATATATATACATATATTTTTTTTAATTAAATGTGATTTATGAGACCACCACTCCTGCCTCAGGCCATAAACCTTCCAAGATAATCAGTTGTTAAATATTGTACTCTAAGTATTCAACAGATGTATTTAGGAATGTTTCTTTTTCAGACACCTGGCATTGATATGTTACCAGGAAAGGTATGCTATTATTGTGCTAAGGTTCAGTAATAATAACCTAAGTTTTATAGCCACACCTTTCCACAGAACCAAATAGGGGAAAATAGGCTTAAATTACAGAATGTATGTTATACTGAAGAATGTTCCAACTAGGGGATTTTAATTACTCTAATAGAATACTGAGAGTAAGGGAATTTTCTTCCAAGGCCACTGTTCAGTTAGAATACTCTAGAACTATCTGGATGATTCCTTAAGACAAGGAGCATGAGTCTCAAACACACTTCTTCCACAGCCATAATTCTGCAATATTAATTTTCCTAGTTCCTGTAAGTGAGAGCTGGCAGCCACTGCTCACTTTCATTTTAACACACATACAACTTACATTCTAAGATAAACTTTAACATCCCAAACTCCAACTTGACTATAACCTGAATTACAACTTTTTTAATTACAGAGATATGGAATATAATTCCATTAAGAAGATAAATTTGGAAAATAGGTCTAACTTCCAAATATTTCAATGTCCCTTTCAATGAGACTAAACTAATATCCTATTATTTCAAAATGTCCAAAACTTGAACACAGTTAGTACTCAATAAATGCTCCATGAAGAAAACAGTTTTGTAAAAACTCTGAAAATACAGAATCCTTGAACACAAAATGTCCTTTGAATCAAGCTTAATGCTGCAATTAGTAATGCAAATTCTGAAACTTGATCTAAATACTGTAATGTTAATCAATCTGAGTTTTTCAACCTTGAGTTCTGAAATCTGTATTTCCCTAAGAATGCACTCCTTCCGATGGGAAGCACACACTAATCTGACTCACTAAACTTTCTCCACTCCTACATCACCTATACAGGATTTTAAAATCTTAAAGTATACAATACTTTCAAGTCACTCCTACAATCTTGCGTTAACCTTGGCTGGACAAACTTTTCGCCAAGTCTGTTAATACTTTTTATTTAAAAACCTATAGTAGTGAAACAAAGAAAACTCTGCCTCCCTCCCCCTTTACTAAACCATATGGCAGTAAACTGAGGTTAACTTATTTTTCACCAGTTCCATGCCAAATACATCGGCCCTAAACATTTGTCTCTTTGTACCCTGGGACAGGGCTGGAGTAGTCTTGCTTATTCGAAACTGTACCCCACGCGTGTTTTCAAATCGTAAAACAAAGTCCAAACGCCTCTGTCCATTAACAGACCACACGATGGTCATCCACCTAAGCCTGACTAGTCAGGCAGCGCACACCGGTGAGGGCCCAGGGAGTCCAGCTTCGGCAGGGTGACCAAGCAGGGAGTTTGCTCGCCGCGGCCGGGCCAGATCCGCCCAGGGAACTTGGTTACCCAAGCCCAGGGACGCGCCGAGGC